GTTCTTGGGGATTGTGGAAGCTTTGAATTGCAAATTATGGGCCCATTCAGATAAACGCAAAGTCTTGGAATGCATTGATAATCCAATCATCAATGAGAGATTAACAAATAAACAGTGGGAAGCCTGCGTCCATGTGTGCCGCATGTGTGATATAAATATGAGTGTAAGTTGAGTTACATTTACATAAGTAAGTACAACTTGTCACCCATTTAAAAATACATAGTGTATAATAACATTTTTATATATTTGTAACATATAACTATTGCAGTATAGCAAAATATCTGTCTCTACAGGAATTAATGAGAAGACTTTTTTTTCAGTTCCTCACAAGGTATTTAGAACAGCATCATGGAGTATTCACTGATATTGTGGCATTCATTCCTACTGGTTGGGAGATGAGTCGGAGGAATAAGAATGCTGGCAATGTCAGAAGAACTCAGTATGGAAAAGTAACCATCTATGGTGTACCATATAGTGAACATTCAAGTTTCACAGAGTTGAAGAGGTTTGTACAGTTTTTGAAGCCAGCTGAAGTTATACCAACAGTGAATGTGGAACGTTCTGCAAATGCCGTGACAAAATATTTCAGGCAGTGGTTGTCTGAATCTCCAATAACATCACTGAAGCAAAGGAATGAGCGAGACCAGTTTGTTCAGCAGAAAATGTCTCGATATTTTCAATCTCAAATGATACCAACAGGTGAAGACTTGTGACAAGAAGATGTGCTCTTGTTTTATAAGTATATCCTGGAAATTGGCCCTTTTTTATACATATTACCTGATTGGTGATTTAAATTAAAGTTAATTTACACAAATATAAGGAAACCCTTTATGTTTAGATGTCTCAAAAATATATAAAATTACATGTCTTTCTTCTTCTGGTTTTGTTTCCTTCCTTTTCTGTGAATAAGAAGTTTCTGGTCTGTTCTATCTTCCCATCGTCTTTCCTTTTCAAATTCTTGCCAGCTTGTTCCTCTTTTCTAGTACCTGGTTGTATCACATTCCTCTGGGTCATCTCATAGATCTCTTTCCTTAAAATTTTAATTGTAAAGCAAACCTTGATGTCCTTGTTCTGTGCTTTCTTTCTTTTTTTATGGTAAAACCATTTTAGTCTTATTCTGTAAATAAATTTTTGATTATCATAAAATATTCTTACATCCCTTCTCAGTTTAATCTCTAACTCTGTAATGTAAACCAAAAAATTAAAAGCTAATTTAACTGTTACACAACTGATTGAGTAGGACTTGAGGCTCTCACAGTGGTATGAAGATTCCTCTCTTCCAGATTGTAACACCATGTAGAAGTTTTCAAATGTTTCAGAGGTCCTTGCTGCCTCCATCATCAGGGCAGTGAGTTGGTGAGTTTAAACTGAATTTCTATTCATTTAAACATAATATGTGATAATGGCTTTTTATTGCATTTTTGCAAGATGGAACTAGGACATAAAACAAGACTATAAAGTAGTAAGAAAAATTAATATAATTGTATGACCATACTGCATAAATAAGAGGCACATTTAGCAGAAGGAAGTGAAGTTCTTCACTAAACTGCATAGGTATTATTAAAATCAGCTGTTTATTTTTAATGATCAAACGTAACATATACATGCAACTGTACATTGTTAAATCTTATTACTATGAGATGAAGTTTGAATTGTCCCAGAGATGTTGAATTTCAGAGCCTAATTGTGGAGTATATTATACAGTACATAAGGTGAATATAAAAATGTTTGTAATTTAAATGAGTGAAAATGAATGTATTCTGTAAAGCTTTGCTTATTTGTGATATTGAAGCAAGGGCATAGCACATGAGTCATGTAATTTAGCTTATATGTTTATTGAGGAATTCTTCAGTTTATGGTGTTTTAATTTCAATTCAGTTAATTTATTTACGTGTTTTCCAACAGCAAGAAGCCAATAACAGGCAAACACTGATAATATATACAATAATAGTGAAATAATAATGGATAATATTACACAAACGGATTAACTAAACTTATACATGTACAGTATTAAATATAACTGCCAAGTACAGGCAAACCCAAAAGAGAAACAATATTAAACACAAAGTAAAATAAATGAAGAAATACAAATAAAACCAATTCAATTTAATTAATTCAATTAATTTATTTACGTGTTTGCCAACAGCAAGAAGCCAATAACAGGCAAACACTGATAATATATACAATAATAGTGAAATAATAATGGATAATATTACACAAACGGATTAACTAAACTTATACATGTACAGTATTAAATATAACTGCCAAGTACAGGCAAACCCAAAATAGAAACAATATTAACACAGAGCAAAAAATGAAGAAATATAAATAAAAACAAATAATCCACCTAGGGAACACTAATATAATTGTAAAACTTTAAAAAATATAAAAAGACAGATAACGAAGCTAGATCATTTCCCTTGTTGAGAACGTTCGCTCAAGGGAGACAATGTTTATGCTAAATACGTCCAAAGATATACATACGTCATTTGCATGTAAACTGTTAATGAATATTGTCATTGTAATTTGGATCATAACTTACATGTGATACAGGTAGAACAAAGTTAATTATAATTGGTAACCAAACATATCCGAATACTATACATTTTTCACAAACAGTTTTATATTAAGTTTCTTACAGGGGCATTTGTGTTACCTCACTCCTTATGAATACCAGACTACTTTATAGGACAGTGAATTTCAGTAAGGGGATCATGGATTCATATTGTTGAAATGACTTTTTTCTTTGTGTCATTGTTAAAGGGATATCTTCAACAGTTGGATAAAAGTTACTTGAATATTGTTATACACATTTTTACTCCAAAGATGGATCAAGTTCCTCTGGGACATACATTACTTATGATTCCAGGGTTGGAAAGCAGTTTTCCTTCTTACCGATTGGTTTACCGTAACGTCGCCGGTATTTTTGTTTGTGAATCGTGCAGCACAATACAGATGGCACTACATTGTCCACCAGCTTTAGAGTTACGCGTCTGGTTTAATCTATGGTTTTAATGTGCTATGAGTAACACATTCCTTCACATACACTCTGTTTACATGATAATT